GCAGCAGCAGCAGCAGCAACAACAGCTGCGCCAGAGACAGTCTCCAAGAACACCAACTGCCGGCGAGTTGAGCGAGAGCAACACTCCACGCGCCAGCCCGGCTGCTGTGGGAAAATCCTCCAGGACTCCTCCACACCTGACTCCTCAGAACAGCTGGAACAGGGAGGAACAAGAGGGAGGGGATGCCGCCCAGCGCTGTGGGGACGGGGCTGACCAGCCGGACCTGGATGACCCCACGTCCGGCATGGCCGGGGGGTTAGGTCGGAACACGTGGCCTCGTAAACGCGTACGTCAGATGGCGCACGTGGGTCAGATCTTCAGCCCGGAGGCTGGAGTGTGTGGTTCGAATCCCGACGGCCAGCCAGGCAGCGCCAACTCTTCTGAAGCTCGCCCGGCCGGCAATATGGGTGGCATGTACTTTGTCTCATTTGACGATTCTGTGTGTAACGGCTCAACTGGGTCAGGGAATGTGGATTGTACCGGGGACCACGCCGCCAGAATGTCCAGGAATAAGCGGAACACGCTGCCTCCTGGTGAGTACTTGTTTGTTGTTGTTGTTGTGGCGCGCGCGCGCGTGTGTGTGTGTGTGTGTGTGTGTGTGTGTGTGTGTGTGTGTGTGTGTGTGTGTGTGTGTGTGTGTGTGTGTGTGTGTGTGTGTGAGTATTTATACCCTGCATCCTTGTGAGAACTGTTTGGTTGGTGTGCGCGCGCGCGCGCATGTGTGTGTGTGTATGTGTTTGTGTGTGTGTGGGAGACAGGGAGCATGAGAGAGAGAGAGAGAGAGAGAGAGAGAGAGAGAAAGAAAGAAAGAAAGAAAGAAACTAAGAAAGAAAGAAAGAAAGAAAGAAGAAAGAAAAGTCTTCTGTCCGCCGTAAAAGACATAACGTATCGAGAACAGGCTTCCGACTCCTACAACATCCCATATTCCACTGTGTCGTTCACTCACAACTCCCGTTCATCACGGAATTCATAATAGGCATAACTCCATTATGAGATAAAGTGCCTTATAATAATATAGGCATCAACATGCTAACAAGAAGACCATTGGTGGGTTTCCAAGTGCCGTTTGTGCACTGCCTTAATGATCCACACGTGTGTAATGCCCGTATTCCTCGCCACCTCCCTGCTTTGTACGGGAGGGTACATCAGGGCGATCTGACCGTCCTGGATCCCCCATTAACACGCCAGTCTAGATAGTCGTCCCAATTAGCGTTCTTCCTTCTGTGAGGCTTTCAGAGAGTTGGCTCTTCGAAGTATTCCCTGTTTCTCAGGGTGGCTCTGGTGTTATCATATTCTTCGACATTATCTCTGGCGAGATACGCTGGTTCATTTGGTCTCGGTTTTAGCGTTTCGCTTATTGTGTTACTCCAAAATACATTCGGTTTACATTCGTGCTCCAATACGACAGACAAAAAACTACGGACAAAAGAGGATCAAGTACTTTCTATTCTCTCTCTCTCTCTCTCTCTCTCTCTCTCTCTCTCTCTCTCTCTCTCTCTCTCTCTGTGTCTTTCTGTCTCTCTCGTTCTCTCTCTCCCCCCTCTCCCCTTCCCCTCTCTCTTTCGCCGCCCTCTCACACAATCTGGAACAACTGTGCTGAGTTTCAAATATGTATTGCATGACTCGGACATGGCGGGCGTGGGGTCATCGAGGTCAGTTAATTCTTTACTAGTTGAGCTGATGGATGGGGAAGACGGCAGTGGACACTTTCCCAACAAAAACAGTCTTGAATGGACTCTGATTTTTTTCGTGACACCGTTCTCCTCTCGAAAACTGAACTAACAACAGTAAGAACAAACAAGCCAGGCACTTAGTTCCACTGTAATTATGTGCCAATAAAGCGGCCTCCGTCACATCGAATGAGATTTTTCCAGGTTGGACGCGACTAGGGGAAATCTCTCTAGTTTTCTTATCAGCATTCTGGAGCTCTCGTTAAAATCGGGGGAGCTGTGATAAGTGTACACAGCCCTTTGCACTTCACAGGAACTGTGGGCTCCCTGAGGCAGGTTGGTTAGCGGAGGGGTATCAGTGCCACCTGGCTCTTGGAGGGAAAAAGAGTCGAAGATGAAAAGCGAAGATAAATGAATTCAGAAGGGACGTAGGAGGGAGGAAACGAAGAAAATTCTGGATCTTTGGGGGTGATTAATAGCCTCGCCTAGTGTGGTTGTGTTTGTGGTTTGGGGGTGGGGGTGGAGAAAGGGGTGGATGGGAAGGTTGGAGAGAGAGGGAGGGGGTAGAATGAAAGAGAGAGAGAGGGAGGGGGTAGAATGAAAGAGAGAGAGGGGGAGAATGAGAGAGAGAGAGAGAGAGAGAGAGAGAGAGAGAGAGAGAAAGTGGGGTGGGGTGGGGTCGGCGAGGGAGACAGAAGTGTAGTGGTCACTAGTCTAGTGGCCGGCCTGGGTTAGTGCCAGTACCTGCGGCGTGGTGCACGTGTGTCCGTTCAGATTTCTGGGCCCTTCAGAACACACGACCTGGTCCTAATGCCCCGCGGCTCGATGGACAGCCGGACAGACTGACCGCCGGCTCGTGCTCCAAAAAATCCGCGCCGGCCTGCTGGGTGCTTTGTGGTAGTTTGCTGTTTTTGTAGTCTGGACTGGACAGCGGTCACTTTCGTTTTAAAATGAACTGACCACAAGAAGTCAGGGGCCCTTGTTGTGGAGTTGTAGACAGATACTGTGAGGTGGGTGCACCCACGAGACCTCATCCCTCCCCTCAGGGTCGGGCAAATCTCCTCCGGACTCTTGCAACATATCTGTGTTTCGCTCTATGTAGGGTAAGAGCACTTATGTGAGATAATTTTTGTTTACTATTGGTACCGTGCTATTATGCAATTTGATTTGTGCATCGTCAGCTTCCTGAAAGTTACGGACATTTGTTTTAGTTAACTACATGTATTTTAGAACCCATAAGCCACATCATGACTTTACAGAAGAAACTAGATCTAGAAATCAAAACATAATTTTGTCCTTGGCACAATTTTTATTGCTGTCTCTGTTGTTCAGTTATGAGATAAAGGCACTTGCAATACAATTAGGTCGTACTAGTGCCGAAGATTAGAGATGTTACTAGAGAGTAACATACAAAGAAATGTAGGAGGAGAGATAGTGTTTTTTCTTTCCTCATCCTTTCTATCGTCGTTTTTCCTCGTGTTTGTCACTCTCTTGTGAACTGCTATTTCCGGGGTGCCTTGATAGTCGAAGCAGACTTTGTGCTGTTGAGGCAAGAGGGGTGAGCAGAGTAAGCCTGATTCCCCGTTTGGACTTCTCTGTTGACATCCGCACCCATTGGCGCTCATATGACCTTATATGCAGTTGCGAGCGCCGTAAAACCTTATAAAAACTAAAACTAAGGAGAGATAATGAAGATAGATGTTTAATCGAAAAGAGGGAGCAAACCATTCCGGAGCACCAGCCAAACACCTACGAATATATGCCGAACATGTGTGCAGTTTTAGTATATTTTCTTGGCATCATTCTGTTGTCTAATCTGTTGGTTTTTTTCAATCAACACTAAATGGATGTTATTTTGTCAGCGTGTTTCTCTTAACTCACAGGTTATTCAATTCAGTGACATGACGTGTTGGATGAGCATTTAAATATTTGGATGAAAAGGTTGTACTGTGATAGATTATAGTCATGAGAACTCAAGGGCACAATCAAATCTAGATCTATACAATGATCTCTTCTTTTCCTCACCTTTTCCCATTTTGCACGGGCTTCTATAATGGTACAGTGGTCGAATCAGTCAGCGTCCTAGTGATCTAAATGGTTTTAATGGTGACATGAAACTCAATTAAAGACCTCCCTCTGTCTTGCTGTATGACTGTTGCCTGTAAACTGTAAGCTTCTCCATTTCTTGGCCTCACGTACCCCTGACCTTATCATGGTTTCCTTTGCCTCTACGTATCTCAGAGATTTACCCGGCATGCCTTTTTATTGAATAATTGGCCGTGACACGGAGACATATGTCTGGCTACCAAATGTTGACATTATCTCATTGGGAATCATCCATGGGTTTGCCAAGTTGGCATTTCTCTTCCCAACGAAAGAGGCCAACGAAAGCTGTGGGTTCAGATGTAAGTAAATCAGAAATGACCGGTAAGATTATTGCATTGGTCATCTCCGTACTACAGAGCTTGACTGCCTTCGTTCGTGAGTGGGTGTTGCTCCTTCTTACTTACTAACGCATCTACCTTCCATCTCTTTCTTCTTTTCTTTGTAGTTTCTTGAAACACCTCAAATCGTCGGCACTTATATATGACCTATTTCTCTTGCAAGAGCTGTAAAACTATCAAAAACTGAGACTAAGAAACGTCCTTTGTGGTAATATTTCAGGGCTCTGTCTCAATAATAAACAAAACCTATTGTCTCGTCCACGGTAGCTCCTCATCATTTTGTCAGAGATGAAACAGGCACGTGATTTGTTCTTTTTTTTTTTAATGGTTCTATTTTGCATTTGCTGTGTTGCGTCTTGCATTGGTCAGTGTTGTAGAATCGGCGACTTTAGTGTTGCATATAGCCATTTGTCATCGCACGCAGAGAGCGTGAGTTCAATTCCCGAATGGGGAAGTTTATACATACATATTATTATATCGAATATTTCGGCCTGTGTGCCTGGATACTGTAACCTGCTCAGCTTGTGTTGGCCTTAACAGGCAGGGTTGAAGCAGCCTTCCTCCTGATTGATTTTAAATGTGTCAACGGGGTGCGCAAATACAATTACAATTATTGGTCATGATCGGAGGGCGCCTCTGGTAGTTTCTACTTCTTTTCTTTCCCTCTGTTGTTCCTGTCTGTCCATCTTACTTTTTTTTCAGCACAAAAGAACTGTTATAGACATAAGATGTTTCTCTTTCCTAAAAAAAAGATAAAGGTAAAAACTAAAACAACAAAAAACAAAACAAAAACAAAATAAGCAGCCTTGAGGAGTAAAGGGTGTGGAAGGCTGTCTGTTACAGTTTAGCCAAAGGTCATACGTGTGTGACCTCGGGTCACGGTTTTTGTGTGGAATGTCGCTGGAAATAGTCACGTGCTAATCTCTGCTGAGTTGTGGATGAAGGCGTGTCGGGGGACTCGGGGGACGCGGTTTGTGTGTGTGTGTGTGTGTGTGTGTTATGTTTTTGTGGGCATATAGGTTTGTCTGTATGTCTATGTGTATGTGTTTGTGGTTGTGTATGCGGGTGGTGTATTTTGTATCAGTGTGAGTGGAGAATATCGTTTAACGTTAAACTAACTTGTTGAGCCTTTGTTTTTAACTAATATTTTTATATCGAGTCGTTAGACTGAGCCAGACACTGGCGTGTTAAGGTCATAGCAACAGTGATATAATGTTAGGGCATTGATGACCCCGGGCCAGCGGGCAAATGAGGGTAATAATGACTCGATGAAGGTATGACTCTCCCATCTGACCTTTCCGCTGCAGTGTCATCTGTTGGCAGCTGGAGGTGCCTCGCTTTTTTCGCTCAGCGCTGCCTTATTTCGCTGATTTCTAGCTTGTGGAACTTCTGTCAATCTGCTGGTACTTGATTTCATCC